GCGGCTTCCTGGGGGTGCAACCCTTGCCAGCAAGCAGGGCCCTACGATCCTGCGTTTTCATTTTCATCCCGTGGAACACCATTCCAAGAGCTTGCTTGCTACATGCTTCCTTCTCTTGGGGAATAGGGCAGGCTGTCGCTTGACCCTCACGTAGGAAAGCTGCCCTGTGAAAACTGAATTGTGGTGACTTCATTGCCTGAGTCAGCTTGCCTCCCCAAGTTGGTCAAGTCATAAAAAGTGGCCCACTTATAAAATATGCATTGTCCTTTTTATTTGCGCTACAGTGACAGGTACTTAGCAGTGGGAATCTCTAAAGAACCATGAACATTCTCTGGAGAAGGGGCTTTAAATCTCTGCCATGCCAGAGAACAGGAAGGAGTTATCAAAAGACAATTTAGGTAAGACTCGGATGCTTTTACCACCCTGTGGGAATCAAAACCCAATTAGCAGCCTGGGGGAATTTGGGTGTGGGCAAGAGAGATAAGAAAGAAATGAAGCTCCCAAAATGATGAAATAAGAGAAGTCAACCAAGCCCTTTCCCATGGCAGTCTTCCAACCCAAAGCAGGTCCAATTTAGGAAAGAGGAGAAGATTTGGGATTACATTTCATTTAGAATTTCAATTAATAATATTAAACAGAGCATTCTAATTTCTGAACTCAATTCCCAGGGGTCCTGGACAAGTAAGCCCCAAAACCTGTAGTTTTCAGGGGATAGGAAAAGAGGCATTCTATTCTTTCAGTGTAAGGAATTGATAGGTGTCAGGGGCTGAATTGTGCTCCCCTGTCCCCACCCCCTGGCCCATTCACATGTTGAACTCTTAATCCCAGTATCTCAGAATGAGACTACAGTCAGAGATATAAGGTCTTTGAAGATGTGATTGAGATAAAAAGAGATCATTGGGGTGGGCCCTAATTTAATATGGATGTTTTTATATGAAGAAGTGATTAAAACACCAGCAGAGGGAAGACAATAGAAGACACAGGGTAAAAATGGTCCCCTACAAGAAAAAGAGAGAGGCCCACGAAAGAAACCAATAGAATGTATGGCCTCCAGCACTCTGAGGAGATTAATAACCACCCAGTCCATGATGCTTTGTTATGGCAGCCCTAGCAAACTAATATGAGACAATAAAAACTGAATTGTTATAGGCATCAAAGTAGTTTTGGAAAAGGCCCTCAAAATGGAACAAAGGATCTAGCACTTCTTATAAGATAGCTAAACTTAAAACAATTGAGCAAATACGGCCTTTTTAGTCATGTTTCTAGTGCTACCTTGACCAACAGACTACAAAGGAAGATGTGTGATGCTGGGTGGCTCATAATTCTATGTGTTACAACATAGGAAGATCAGACGCAAAATAGAATTTTCAAAGCACCATAAATTATTGCATCTGTAGGGTTCATGTAAAGAGCTCTACTATGCTCTGCAATACTGTTAAGTTGGTCTGCATAGGAGTAGGGATGTAATTGTACAACAGAACAGGGCAAATTCATTTAATATTTATGAGTCATATCACACATGGTTTCTAACGCAGATAGGTACTCAATTAATATTAACTTCCTGTTTATTCGTCTTTAATAATGGGTGGAAGGACACTGAGATTGATTATTTTACTCTGCTTCTAGTCACCTTCTTTAAGGTGATGAGACTGACTTAACTAATTGTTACTCGAAACAATCTGGCATTGGAGCAACTGAAAATACATGTTAAATCTAGCATTTGTGTAACTCACAGTTTTAGTAAGAATCAGTATTTTTTTTTTAAGATTTTATTTATTTGTTCATGAGAAACAGAGAGAGAGAGGCAGAGACACAGGCAGAGGGAGAAGCAAACTCCACTCAGGGAGCCCGACGTGGGACTCGATCCCGGGTCTCCAGGATCACACCCTGGGCCGAAGGCGACGCTAAACCTTTGAGCCACCTGGGCTGCCCCAAGAATCAGTATTGATAACCAATGATAAAGCAATTTGATAACTAGAAAGGGAGGAATAGTGTCCAATTTTTGTTAAAAACATACAATTAGATTTCACAAATGAGGAACTCAATCTTGTAAAGTCATCACCATGTGTGATGCTTAAGCTAATGTGCTTCATATGTGTTCAAGATTGAAAATCTTACCTGTAATCAAGAATAAAGGTTTAAATGACAGCAGGAGAACAGATTGGGCAGATACTCTGCCGGGAACTACACATACCAACTCAGATGGGGGTATTGAGCACCTGCTTCCTCGGGAATCTAAAACAAGATTTGAAGTTGTTCCCAAAGTCGTAAGAAATTCAGCAGGGGTGAATATATATGCTGCAAGAGTCAGGACGGTCTGTCATGGAGTATGAGAGCCCCTCCTCAAGACTGTGTGCCTAGAGGCCGGCATAGAGAAGCAAGAGCAAAGCCTGCTGGGCTCCTGTCCTAAAATTCTTCGGGAACTGATGTACTACCAAGGCAGGAATCCATATACAAGGCCACATTCTGAGAACACCTCTAAGCCTGGGGTAATGACCCTAAATATCAATTACTGACTGCTGTCTGTGTATCTGGATCTCTACAAAGTACTTGGCCTATCAAATTTTAGTTTATCCCAAAGTGAATTCCATGAACCTGCTATGGTAGGAGATACGAAAAGACAAAGATGACAATTATAGGTAAAAAGATGATAGATTCAAAGAGTAAATAATTGAGATTGAGCCTGATAATTTCCAGATAAAATCAAGAAGGACATGTATTTACTGATATACACTGACTTTTTATTGTTGTGCAGAATAAAAACCATTTTGGAACACTCCAGCATAAAAACAAGATTCTCAGGTATGAGGAATAAATTAATACTATTAATTATTTGTTAGGATTTGTTAACAAATTAATTAATGCCAGAAAATAACAAGAATCATATACAGATTTTATTTAAGGAAAAAATTATTTGTGGACCAAGTATTTTAACATCTGTTAAAATTTTTTTCAAGTGCAAAGATAATTTCAGATAATATATATAGGCTCAAAAAATATTCTACAAATATATCTTTCTTTTTTTTTTCAAATATATCTTTCTTAAATATAAATCACCTAAGATAGCTACTGATTGACCATAGAATGAAGTACCATTAGGAATTAAGCAATAAAAATGTGGTTGACTTGTCTCAACAGGTAAAGTTTCCAAACTATCATAAGAGACCAGAGGAAAAATCATTGTTCATGCCATGATTATACTCATCATACAAAATTAATGCTGAATGTGGATGCTTTGGTGTCTCCATTATATTGACATCTGTCTACAACTAAAAGAAAATAATTTCAATGTGGAGAATTATACTTCACATTAAAACAAAAGATAAGAGAAATTTCTTGAAAAATTTCCCTCTTTCAAATTAAGACTTACTACTGGATTCATTTATTTAACTATATATGTTTGTATTAAATTAAATGTTGTATTAATAAATGCCATGTTTGGAAAGGATATAGTACTTATATTTGATGGGTGTTTCTTTTATTCTCTTGGTTACTCATAATTTCCATTAAAACTATGAACATTCAAAAGTACTAAAGATAGGAATTTTTTTCTGAATGCCTAACAGGAAATCTATAATATATTGTATATAGTTCAACTAAATGAACTTCATATACTTCTCAAGTTTTTATATTGTTGAGTAGAATGTATAACCTTGGTGAAGAATTTCCTTATCATTGACTGAATTTTCCTCTTACCACTTGTGATTTTCGGGGCAGCCCTGAGTCAGCGTACTACAGACGCAAACCTACCTTTCTTTCTTTCTTTCTTTCTTTCTTTCTTTCTTTCTTTCTCTTTCTCTTTCTTTCCTTCCTTCCTTCCTTCTTTCTTTTCTTTTCTTTCTTCTTTCTTTCTTTCTTTCTTTCTTTCTTTCTTTCTTATATATATTTTTTAATTTATTTATTCATGAGAGACACAGAGAGAAAGGCAGAGAAACAAGCAGAGGGAGAAACAGGCTCCCCATGGGGAGCCCAATGTGGGACTGGATCCCAGACCCCGGGATCATGCCTTGAGCCTAAGGCAGACGCTCAACCGCGGAGCCCCCCAGGCGTCCCAAAGGGGGAAACCTTTCAAGACTAACTTGTTCAGCTTACAGACTAGGGCTCCAGAGTTTATAGGGGATTTGTAGAGCTGACTTCCTTTAATTTTACCAGACTGCTTTGGGAACCTAAAAGATCCTCATTACACTCCCTCTTGACATTGTAAGGAAAAAAATACCCACAGAATACTGAGCCATGCTTATCAGAGCCAACAGGAGAAAATAATTTGTATAATTATTAACAACTCTCATGACCCTTAAATAATCAATGCTATACATAAATTATTCACACCAGGAGTTTAAAAAGTAGAGATTATTATAGTATCAGTTTAAAATAGCTAGCAATGAATCTACAATCCACCTTATCATTTCTTGGATAGTTTTAGAAGAATTGTAGCCAAGCCCAGCTATAACCATATGAGAAATTTAAGCGTAGGGCCTACCTTTCTTTAATGAGGCCTCTAGAGAAGCTAATTCTACAGCCTTTGGAAACACACTGACAATATTTAATAAAATTTACATGAAAGTCTTATGGAAAGAAAGATTTAAGTGTCTTAATGAAAAACATTATCCTCTCTATAGAATCGGGGAATTGGTCATTCGGTGGTGAGAACAGGGACTGCCCTCTGAGGGGTGCCATACAGTTAACAAACTTTATTTTACTGACTCCGTTGTGAGATATGTAAGGCAAGTACAGTGCAGGAAATATGGTGCCAGCAAATAATATGTGTTTAATAATTTAGTTTGTGAAATTGGGACTTCACAAAAATCCTATAAAACAGATAACACTGTCTCTGTTTTGCAGTTGAGGAAAAGGACTCAGAGAAGTAAACTAGCTTTCTCAAGATCACACAGCAGAGACCATTTGGAAACACAAGTTCATATGAATACTTCCAACAGAGAAATCTATACTGGGACTTCTTTGCTTTTAAGGAGATTATTTGTTGAATTTTCTGTTTTCAGGTATTTTCTTACACTGCTGACAAAGAAATCCGAACTGACGACTTGTGCTTGGATGTGTCTAGACTCAGCGGACCTGTAATCATGTTAAAATGCCACCACATGAGAGGAAATCAGTTATGGGAATATGATGCTGAGGTATAGTCTTTTCCTTAATTTACTTATTATTTAAAGCTTAAACTCAGTTATATATTTCAAGTGCACTTAAATCCTAAGCTATTTTTTCTGCACTGGAAGAACTGTATTTTCAAGCATACAGGCTTCTAACTGATAGCATTAGAATGGTATAGTATAGGTTTTGTCAAATGAGTTCATTAGTATAAAAAACGAATAAGAAAAATAAGTTCATTTTTAAGTGCTTAAAACATGTTAGCGCGTTTACATGCTTAACATAAGGAGCCAGCTGTGCCTAACTGACAGGTATGTATGAAGATGCACATTATAGGACGATATCAACAATATTTCCATTTTTCAAATTCCAAATTTTACACTGTTATAATCTGATATTAATGCTTCTCAATTTAAGGGAAAGAAAAAATAAGCTGGTAAGATTAGCATGAATGCTCTTTATAATAGAAAAATACTTTGCAAAATTCATTAATTAGGCACATAATCAGGTAAGGAGTATTTTCTCAATATAGCACATCTTTCTGGTAGAAGAGAGGGAGAGAAAACAGTAAAATTACTGTTGGGGATTTATAGTCAGGCAGTGTGTAAAAATCAGATCAGCCATCAGATGGAGCTAATAAAAAAGAAATATTTTCTTTTCCATAAGGAAGTTGCCTTGAAACAGCTTCATTTCTTTCAGTTCCCTTGGCTTAGCAAAATGAATTGGGTCATCCGTGTTACATTTTCCACATTATTAAATTGTTGGTGACTTATTTCAGATAAGAAACTACTCTTGCAAGAAAAATAATGCACTAGAGCCAAATGAGTTTCACAAATGCAGTGATCCACCTAAGTGTAACGTTTTTAAGACCGATCTACGGAGTCGTTGATATCATTGATACTGCAACAAGGTCTTCTTTTTAAAAACTTTTTGAAAGTCATTTCAATTTGTACGATGTAGCTTTTTAGCAGGACAACTTACTGAATTTTTATGTGATTTGAAACTGATTATGTAGGGGTAAAATTATGTGGCCCTAAAATTTATATAATATAGCCAAGCTCTTTGAACATAAAATACTCTTCTTCTGGGACATAATGAAGGGCAAACATCCTAAATCTTTCACATAATACACCAGTGTGCTCTATTCAGACTCTTCCCTCTCCAATACCTCATTCACCCACGTTTTTCTCTTGAGCTCTCATCATCACCACCTTTCCTATTAAGGCTGTAGAAGATATTTCCTTCAATAATACATGGGGGTAAACCTGGAACCTTGGCTTCCTCCCTCTTCCAAGAGGAAAAATACAGATAAATGTACAGATAAAGGAGAAATTCTGCACATTGTATTTTTTTAAAGAAATTTTTTTTGTTGTTGCTGTTGCTCCTTAATTTTCATCAGGAGCCCAGGATTTTATTGGGTTTGCACTAAAAATAAAGAAATCTAGCATATGTTTCTACGGAAAGGGGAATGAGTATATATACTTTTATAAGATGAAGCGGGTTGAATTTCAGAATACTACTTTTAACCTTCAGACTTTAATTTTGGAGCAGATAATGGCTGCTATACTCATAACTCAGATTCTTTAATTTCTGAAATAGCTATATTGTTGGCATGTCGCTATATTTTGTTGATGTTTTAATCAGCCAGTAGAGAGATTGTTGAATACTAAGGGATTTTTGAAAGAAAAGAGAAAAAAATAGGTTGCTTCATGTAGAACTTAAAAATGGTTTTTGTAAATTTACTACTTTGGATAACTAGTAGTTATCTACGGTAGGATTTTTCCAGCATTCTGATATTTTGTAACGTGGAAACTTTGTTTCTAAAACACACACCAGAAAGCTCATAATATACCAAAAAAGTTGAGAAATGGTTCTTAAATAAACAGTCTGATCATTGTAATGATTATATAACACAGCTTACTTTACTCTCCTATATGTTTATGTTTTCAAAATTAAATTGTGATGCTCAACTTGTCTACATTTAACATTTTAAATTGTAGTGTAGATTTTTTGCCAAATATATGAATGTCTAAATCATGATGTGGAGAAGTCACAAAAGAATAAGTGTAGGAATAATGAATTGCCTTTTCGGAAATTTCAGGTGTGAAATAAGATTTTATTTGTGAAAAAGTCAGAAAGAAAGAGACCTTTTTTTTTTTTTTTTTTTTAAAGAAATTGAAATACAGTACTTGGAGTCACTTTAGTCTACGAATAGTCCCAAACCCAGGCCACCCAAAGTATGATTCTGAGAATAGTAACAACACCTGGGAACTTTTTAGAAATTAGGAATCTGAGATCCCTACCAAACACACACTATTTGGGAATCTGCATTTTAACAAATTCCCGGGTCATTTACATACATATTAAAGTTTGAGACAGATAGGTGTAGACAGTGGCCAAACATCTACTTATCTTCCTTAGTCTTTTTATACACTGTTGGAATTGTTGCAAAGTCAGGAAAAAGCATAAATACGCTTTGGAAAATGGCAGGCCTCCAGGAGAGACAGGGGAAGGATAGGGAGCAGGAGGGTGAGGGGTGCTGAGATGGGAGAGAGGAGTCCCTGCCAAGGAGCACTGGTCTTCTGGCGTCTGACCCGTGGGAAGTAGAAAGTGCTGCTTGCTACTTCTTTAATTTGGTTCTTGAGCTACTGCTGTGGAAGGCAGAATTATTTTTCTTTGAGAAACCTCGGAGGTGGTTGCTATCAAAGCAGGATAAAACTTGGTGGAGTTCACGAATTACAAGAGTTAAAACTTTTCTTAAAGTTCTGTTGTTTCAGCCTTTATCAGGAGGAGAGTAGGCCCAAGATCACACTACCCGGGCAGGGACGAGAGTTCAGTTCTAATAACACACTCAAAGACAGCTAGTCATCAGCTCAATTGGGAACCTCGCAATGTGAACGGATCAAATATTCCACACTTTATCACCCACGGTACTTTTTTTTCCTTTTAAGATTTTATTTATTTATCCATGAGAGACACACAGAGAGAGGCAGAGACCCAGGCAGAGGGAGAAGCGGACTCCCTGCGGGGAGCCGGACAAGGGACTCGATCCCGGGACCCCTGGGTCACACCCTGGGCTGAGGGCCGGTGCTAAACCACTGAGCCACCCAGGCGTCCCAGTACTTTGAGGTTTAGAAAAGCAAGTCGTAATTAGGAGCAGAATTACTGGAATATCCAGAGGAGAAAAACTGAAACAGTATCATAAAGCCTCAAAATATAGAGTCTATCAAGTTTGTTTGCTTCTTAGGTGAGCAGTGGGGAGAAAGAGGAGGGAGTAAAAGTTCTTGAGTGTCTATGCTTTCACCTGTTTTCTCAAGCAATTCTAACAATAGTCCTATAAGATAATATTATTATTTGTGCTCTCCCCATTAGTAATTGTAAGCTTAGAGTGTTAGATAGCTCCTCTCGGTTTAGACCCCAGGTTTCTGGCACTGAGTCCAGCCTCTTTCTACTACACTGCATGGCCTCTTGAGGTCACTGAAACACTAGAAACAATTAGGTACTTTGAGTGATGCTGCTCTGATAAGCTAAATGTATATACTATTTTAAATGAAAGGAATTATTTAATATTATCATTTATTTGGGCTACCAAATTTTATTCAAGAAGAATTTCTCCTTTCCTTAATAATGGGGAAGATGTTCTGCAACAAACATTGTCTATTTAGATGAAGTCTTGAAACTACTTTGTCAGTATGGTCTAATTGCTTACAAACTTTACACATATTCCTAAACAATTAATATCTAACTGCTTCTCCTTTTATTTGAAGGAAACTAAGCAGAGGCTTAGTAAATACATGTCTTGGGCCTACTTTGATTTGAAATGTAGAAGTTCCTACTTTCTTAGCTAAGTGTTTTTCAACACAGCCATGAATTTAATTTGGTACTATTTTATAGCTGGCTAAACGTGTTTGACTTGGGGGCAACTGAGCATCATAAGCAAAACTACAAGATCCTTACCTTGTCTAGAATCTCTTAAATAAATTACCTCGACACTTTGGTGCTATGAAAACCATTGCCATAGAATTATAACAAAGAAGAAAAAAAAAGGGAACCCTAGATTTTATCTCACTGAAATATTTTAAAGATTATTTTTACAAAGTTCTGTCATCCATCCATTCTATTTTATTCAGATTTTCTTGTATTCTATTTGAACACTGCAGTTGTGTCCCAATCCATCTGAAATTTACATTTTTCGACAATAAGTACACATAATCACATTTTTTGAACGTCCAAGCAGCTATATACAGTGTAAGAATCTAATTTTAGAACAGAACACTTATGCTCAACAAACACTATGCAACAAAGAAGAAACATGGGAGCAAAATATGAGGCTAAAAATAAGTCTTGCTTTTCATGTGACTGAGCAAGTTGACTGAGAAAATGAATTCAATATCCATCTGTATCAAATGTTTCCCAGAGTCACAAGATAAGGGATTTTTTTCAGGAGGCAAAATATGTCAGATTGATATTTACTGAAATCACAGAAGCTTGAGTTTAGATTTTACTTAATACCTCCTTTTTTATTTACCTTCATCAGAAAGCAGGTAAATGGCAATATAATTTCAAGGTAAGTAGTAATCTATAGTGGCAACCCGCCCTTTCCCCGTGTAGCACTCCTAATAAAGAGTGGCTCAATTTAGCTTTAGAAGGCTGTGTGTATCTTACTAGTATTACCTGTCTGTATTCCCACTGACCCATAGCTGTGGTTTCTTATGTAGACTCAACTAGTGAATAGGAATTTCAATAGTATAGTATTATAATTTTAGTTTTTGTGTCTTAAACATTTACACTTAGTCTTTAGAATAATCATATTCTGTTCTAAAGAAACACAGTTCACCTTATCAGGACATCATAGTTATCATTTTGAATAACAACTTTGTTATATTAATTGTTTTTTTTAATTATGATTTTGTACTTCATCAATAGGGGAAATCTTACTGCCTTAGCTATTAAATATCTGTAACGGTCTATTTTTTCTTATTTTGTTTATCATTATATATAATAATTAGTTGAGTTTCCTTTTAAACTT